GGAACATTTCTACATTTTTTTCTCCTGGACTAGAATGTGAGCTCCCTGAGGGCAAAGACCACAGATTATTTGTCTCTGCATTCCCAGTGCCCAGCATTTACTAGGCCCTCAAAGAATAAATGCCAGCCAACTTAATGAGTTGTTTCCCCTCCTTCATTCATGACCACAATAAAGAGCTCCAGGAGACAAGACAATAACAAACAAAATCCCAGTTTTCAACAGAGTGCCAAACCAAAATGCTAATTTTTTTCAAAGTACTATAATTCTGTTTTAAAAAATCATGTCACCAGGATAGAGTTTGGGTTTTAAACACTGAAATCAACTGTAAAAAGAAGAAATTCCCTGAGAGTAAACAGTACCCTACAGTGAGAACTCACTACCTACACAGCCTGGCTGCCCACCACCTGCTCCCCCAAATTCCATCTTGGCTAACAGAGTGGGTATGTGTCCAAGGTTCCACAGCTTTGTTTCAATTTATACTAGCAGCAGGCAGGTGAGAAAGCCGTGAAGACCAGGATCCGGAAAAAGGAGACAGAAAATAGCATTCTTACCATCTTCCCCAGGGTGGGGCTGTCCTTCCTATGAAGAGTTGAGACTTGGGGCCACCTGAATGACCTATAATCTCATCTTCTCTTCTGACCTATCTTATTCCCAATTTTATCTTCCATCTTATTCTCAAAAAGTGTTTGGGATGATTGTCATTGTTTCTTCAGGTCTATATCTAGGTCAAGGACTCCCCCCCCCCTCCTTTTTTTAAATCCTCACCTGAGGATATTTTTTCCATTAATTTTTTTTAGAGAGAGTGGAGGGGAGGGGAAGGGGGGAGAGAGAGAGAAAGAGAGAGAAACATGGATGTGAGAGAGACACATTGACTGGTTGCCTCCTACATGTGCCCGACCGGGGCTGGGGATCAGGCCTGCAACCCAGGTACCTGCCCTTGACTGGGAATCAAACCCGAGACCCTTTGGTCTGCAGGCCGATGCTCTAACCACTGAGCGAAACTGGCCAGGGCTGTCAAGGACTTTCATTTTTTTAAATATATATATATATATATTTTTTTTTTATTGATTTCAGAGAGAGGAAGGGAGAGGGAGAGAGAGATAGAAACATCAATGATGAGAGAGCCATTGATTAGCTGCAGCCCACAACCCGGGCATGTGCCCTGACCGGGAATGGAACCCCAATCTCCTGGATCCTAGGTCGACGCTCAACCGCTGAGCCACACCGGCTGGGCTCAAGGACTTTTAATGAAGTGACATCCTAGTTGTATGATCTTGGACAAATGACTTTCAAGTTTCTTGCTCTCAGGTACCTTGTCTGTAAAATGGGGATAACAATGACCAAACTGGGGTATTGTGTTTTAAATTCCAGAATATATCTGGAGAACTTAGCCCAATGCCTGTCACACAGTAGGTATAGAATGAATTAGAGCAGTTTTTACCATAAGACCCAGAGAATGCAAAATTCTGAAAGGGGACTCTCAGGAACCAAAGGAAAGAGAAGGACATCAGAGTATCTGGGAACTATCTGATAGAGCAGCAATTTTCAACCTTTTTCATCTCATGGAACACATAAATGAGTTACTAAAATCCTGCAGCGCACCAAAAAGTTTATTTTCTGTCCACCTGACAAAAAAATAGGTATAATTTTGACTCATTCACACTGGATGGCCATTATTATGTTGGCTGTTGTCATTTTTAAAATTTAACAATCTAAAGGAAGTCAGTGCCGCTTACTCAATAGTCAGGTATTGCATGTTTTAAAAATTCTTGCGGCACACAGGTTGAAAATCACTGTGATGGAGAATCCAGAACTCTGCACAAGGGTAATGGCCATGGGGACCTCTGAAATTTCTAGAATGTTTGTCACTCTCCCATGCTGTCATTTTCTCCTGCACATTCTGTTTTTATCTTCATCCAAGGATATATATTTTTAATTGATTTTAGAGAAAGGAAGGGAGAGAGGGGAGAAGAGAAAAACATTGATCTGCTGCCTCCCATATGTGCCTTCACCGGGGATCAAACCCACAACCTAGGTATGTGCCCTGACTAGTAATCAACCTACAACCTTTTTGATGTACAGGACGATGCTCCAACCAACTGAGCCACCCCGCTAGGCTCTCCTGCACATTCTTACTTCATTTAGATCAGCAGTTCAATCCTTTAAATGAAAAAGGCCCAAGTATACAGGAGAGTCCACTTGTGGGAGGAAAAGAAACTCTAAAATATCAGGGAAAGACTTAGTAGAGGAGGGAGGAGCTTAGTTTGGGGGCACCAGAATTGAAGAGAAGATTCAGAATGTTGACATGAGACCAGGAGCTCCCTGGATGTCTCATTCTGAGAAATTCCATAACCCCTCAGACCTGGGCAGACTGTTCCTTATGCCCTGCCTGCTGCTCCCAGAGCTCTGGCCCACAGTGCCAGCATCATAAACCACACTAGTTTGGGAAACGCTCTGCTTGGACTCTTGAGAAGTTCCATGACCCTACCTTGTGTAACCTGACCCACATACCCAGTTATTAGGATATTTAAAGGACACCTGATTCTTTCTGCGACAGTGCGGTTACCCGAAACCTCCTAAGACATGACTACAAAAGAGAATCCCAGCCTCTGGCCTCAGTCCATACACGAACAAGTCAAGCTGCCTGAATCTGGGTCAGAAGGGAAAGCTGCCATTCGGAGGCAGAGCGAAAATTGCCTGCCTGCCTGGCAGTCTATATTCACAGGGCAATGGTTCTCAAGCCTGGCCTGGGTATCAGAGTCACTTGGAGAGCTTTAAAAAGCAGATTTCAGGGTCACCCTAGACTTACTAATTACTTCAGGGGTGATGCCTGGGAATATGTAGTTTCTAAAAGTGTCATAGGTGACTGTAATGTAAAGCGAAGGTTGGATACAATGCTTCATGGAAGTATCATGTTTTGAACTTCTGGGAAATTACTAGGGTTCCATACAAGGAGACAAGACAGTTGTCTTTTTTCCCAGTGAGTCTGTTCCAGCTTCCCTGGCTCTCCAAGAGGAGGTGATCGATCAGGAGGCAACTGCACTCAACTTCCTTTCCTCAGGGTCCCTAACCATTGGGAGATGCCGTCCTCATCACCACACAACTCAATAAACGGTGCACTTCTTACTGAAATCAGATACAGATTTAATAACATTTTTGGAGCACCTGTTTTGTGGCAGGCCCTGCACCAGACACATAAATCTCAAGCCTGTGAGAGGGGCACGGCATTGTTCCTGTTTGGGGTGCATTCCTGGAAAAGGAGTGTTCATCAGAGCTTTACCAGCCCATTCCAGCACAGTCCTCACGGTAATTTATCACTTATGATCAACATACAATTTGAGGTTTGTTGGTGATTTATTACTTGAGAGCAACATACAATTTGGGGTTTATTGACTGAAGAGTCTTCTCAAAATTCTTTTGGTCTCAACATTCTAACAGTGGATGTGGCTAGGCTGAGTGAATGACCTTGAATTTATGAGGCTTATCCCCTCGGGCTGTCAAAACACCCATCTTGTCTTTTTATTTATTTTTAAGTAAAAATTCAGAATGCTTCACGAATTTGTGTGCCATTCTTGTGCAGAGACTATGCTAATCTCTGTATTGTTCCAATTTTAGTATATGTGCTGCCAAAGCCAGCACTCTAGCCTGTGTTTTAATCATGAAAATAATTCCATTTGCCCAGTCTCTGGAAAACAATAAAATCGTTTGCTGGGAATCAAAGAGTTGTAAACAAGGACTGCAGGAGAGTATGTAGATAATTTTTGGTGAAAAGCATTAGATTGATCTCAGCTATGATTGTATTGTCTCCATTTTTAAAGATGATGAGACTAAGGCTCAGAGAAGCTCGGTAACTTGTCAAACACACAGAGAGCACAGGAAGAGCAAGGATTTGATCCCCGGTCTTTTGATTTCCAGATCAGTGCTTTCACCTTAGCTCCATTACAGTGACCCCACTAGCCCTTTTGAATAGCTATACAGGAGATATTTCAGGTTCTGTTCCAGCACGCAACAAAGTGAGCATAGCAATAAAGCGAGTCGTAATCTTATTGCTGGTATAGGGTCTTGCCTTCAATTTGCAAAACACTCAACATCTATAAAGTGCAATAGAGCAAAGCACAATAAAACGAGGTATACTTGTAGTTACTTATGTGCAGATTTATAACAGTTGACAAGTCACATACTGTTTTTATCAGCCATATGCAAAAATCACTGATTAAGATTGAACAGAATTTTAGGAGGACATAATTATAAAAATAATGAGGGCTCAGAGGGGCTGAGTGACTTGTCCACGATCAAAAAGGTCTTGTAATGGCTCCGAAATAGGAGCACCTTGTAACTAAAGGCATATATGCTGCACAGTGGAGAGGAAATCACACGAGAATAGGAGTCAGAAGCCATGGATTCCCGACCCTGTTTCAGTCTTTATTAGTATAGCACTTTGGACAAGTCCCTTGTCCTTTGTAAAATGGAAACAATGATCTCTGACCTACTTTACTGAGAAGTGAAGATCCAAATGGATGTAAAAGTATTCTGAAAATCCCCTCCAAAAAATAATAGAAGGTAAGAGCTCGGGTAGATCAGTCAGACCTGGATTCAAATTCCGACTCTGCCACTTGCTGGCTGTGTGACTTTGAGCAAGTGATTTTACCTCTCTTGTGCCTCCGTTTCTCATCTGAAAAATGGGACTACCTCAAGTACCTAACCCAAAGGTCGTGACGACCAAACGAGAGCATCCATTTACACAAGGATTGCCTGACACACAGTACTCGATCGATGTCAGCCACTACACCCGTGATAATGGTTCCTCTTGGGTGGTCAACTTCCTCAAATCACAGACTTCCTGAGTGACCAAACGTACCCTGGGCTTCAGTTTCGGTCTCATTCTCTGCCTTCTGCCTCGGACCCCGTCTCTTCCTTCCCAGTCCCCCCTTCTCCACAGCCCGTCTTAAAACCCTGCAAGAACCCCAGTCCCCTTGCCCCGTTTCGGCGCTGTCTCTTACTCGACGACCTTGGCCGGGTGCCCGTGGTGCCCATAGACCAGCGCCCGGACCCGCGAGGGCTCGGCAGATGCGGAGTAGGAGGCCGCGGCA